CCAATAATTTTCGAATGAAAATTTTAACAGTGTAATTACAATTATCAATTCTCCTACATTACAAGGTTTTGTGAATGTGCAATCATTTCTTAAATATGTTAAATTTGTTCCTGTAGTTAAGATTAAAAGTTTAAAATCATTTGGATTTCTTTTTTTACTAGGCAAACAAAGTACAAAAATCTATCCTTTTGTTGTTCCACTTTCCACTCATTAAATATTCTGCTTAAAAAGCAATCCAATAAGGAAATTAGATAATTTAAAATCAAAATTTTTTTTTTCAATACTTCATTTTCCGTCTGTAGAGGAAAAGTAATGTTTGAACAGCTTTTTTGATTAGGGATGAATCAACTATTGCCACTTTAAATTTCCTGGAGTGGCTATTGCTTGTCTATTACCAAGGTTATTAAAATCACGCGGACCTCGGCATGCTACTTTTTAAACAAATTTTATGTTATTTTTAATAAATCACACTTAATAGTTTTTAGAAATGATTAATAAAATTGTATACAAAACTTCACCAAAATGTTTAATCCAATAATAAAACTACTCATGTATATACGTATGATTAGCTTATTTGATGGTTGCCTTAAAATTAAGAAGACACATTGTAAAAAATCCACAATTGTAAAAACACATTGGAAAAAATTCAAGACTCATTGTAAAAAATTCGGGATCAAATTACGGTACTTGAGAGGCAGTACTTTTTTAGGTAAAAAATATTTTTCCCTGGGCGTATTTGGGAACAAAAAATCTGATTAACCGTAATTTTTCAAGTAAGAATTACCGTTAAAATCACTGAATATTAAAAAAGTCTTGTTTTTGTACCCGGCATGGTTTCTGGCATAGTACCCTGAGTATTTTATATCTTAAGTTGTCTTAACATTAGACTTGGCTCACTGGAGCTCAATATAGCTTTAATAAACTGGGGTAACTTTGCGGCTTAGCCAGTGAGATGGATTTTATTTTTAGTTGAGTGTGAGAAAATATATCTCTTAAAGTATGAGAGATATATTATTGCTTAAACAGATGTACCATTGATATACATAATATTGATATATTTGATTGAAGATATCTTACTCATAAATTATACTGTCATCAAAATTTTTATTTTTCTCAAATCTAAAATTATGTAGTATGTATTTCATTCAGAAACTATTTGATTATTTTGAATATTCTGCCTCATCTGAAGAATCATCGAAGAATATTCTCTCATAAATAATTTCACAAAATTATTCTAGTTATTGAGACGCCTTCTCTTTTGAGATATTTATGATAAGTTTTCACATAATGTTTATTCAGCAAATAATCATATTATTTTTTTCCTTGTATTCTGTGCAAATCTTTCGATTTATGTATCAAATTTCACAATATTGAATTGTTATTTGGCGTGCAACATAGAAAAATTAGTAAAAAACACGAATGTTGACTAAATTTTATTTTTTATAAGCATGGGGATAATTATTTGAACACACAATAAAATGCATCAGTGCCTTCACAGAAAAATTCTAGAAAAATTACCGCACTGTATAGTAAGTGCATTTCTGGTAAAATAAATAAATAAATAAGTAAATAAAAATCATAATTTTGGTTAATAAAACTAAAATGTACAGTTTTTAAACCATTTTATTCCGTTTCGGTAGTTTCTTTTCCGTTCATATGGTAACGGTATATCGAAAATTCAGCCTTTGAAAATTATACTGCATATTTTCACAACTTTAGTATAAAGTACGAAGCTGAAAATTAAATTTAACCGAATAAATGGTTTTTGCGCCGCTCCCTGTGGTATCATGGTAATAGCGTTACAAAATGATCAAATTTTCCCACATTTACCAAATTTTTTCCCAGATTATAAAACCATATCTTATTATTAAAATCATTACTAAAGCACTTAGGTAAGAATTGTCGATTTCTTTATGTTCCTATAGAGCCAGACACATAGTACGCAGACGGCATTTACGAAGTTTTTAAAACTACAATAATATGGTATTTTTAAAACTCTATATTATTTACTGTAAGCCGTACGAATAAATTTCATTAAAAATTTTAATCAGTCGGAAATAAATCTATATACTTTATTATATATTTAAAAAAATTTTTTAACAAAAATGAACGATCTCTAATTTGATTGTTAAATTAAAACGTTTGAAAACTAGGTTTTGGAGATCACCAAATCCAAATAATTTTTAGAACTTTGCAGGATAATTATATAATTGTTAAAAAAAATATTTTTTTCCCTTGTGGTTCTATAAAAATTGTGAAACTACTCTGGTTTTATAAATAACTTTCCGCTGTTGTTTATAAATAATTATGAAGTTGCATAATTAAGGTTTTAAGAACTTCATATCGTGATAAATGTTTTTCAAGCATCATGTTAATTACCTAACGTAATTGCCTTGAAATACTAGCCTTATGGAAAGAACTCAAAATTTATTTACATTTATAACAATTATTTACAAATTCGCGTTTACAAAATTTCTCTAAGATGAAAAATTAAAAAAAATAATAAACTACATAAACTACATTTGGGTCTTTTTTCAAAATATAAAAAATGAATTTCCCAATCTTTGCTAGCACCTCTGGTTAATTTTATATCTGTAGATTCATATATGACTCAGTGCTTCGAAATTATGGGTTTAAGTCTCTCAATGGGGCAGACCAGCCAGTGTAGGGGTTAGGGAACTGCCCTTGCATCAGAAAGGTTCTGAGTTCGAATCCCGGGCGAGGCATGGATGTTCCTTCCTTCTCTGTACTATCTGTCCTTACGGTGGGAGCAATATTCACCCGCCTAATACGGTGCCCCTGAAAGAGTGGCCAACAAATCTGCACTTCAGGTGCCTGTATGACCTAGGTCATTATTCAGGTGGGTATTGAAAGAAAAAAAAAGTCTCTCAATGGGTATAAGTTTATCAATGTTCAGGTGCGTACTCCCTAAAAACAGTATCCCTGATTTAAGAGATGAAAGTGTTACGTATTTGTCTCCGTATTTAAAAGGTACAATGTTCCTTTAAAATTTAACGGCAGAATGTGCTTCTAATTTTACACTCTCGTACCATTTATTGAAACTCATATTTCAAAGGTACAATATAAATATGTCCCTCTTAATTTGTGTATGTTTTTAAGAGATAGATTGTACTAATAGTTTTAACTCATTTGCATAATTTCGCTCCTTTTTTTATAATCAGCTGCATTGGCTTAAAAGGGACAAAACTTCGCATAACAGATTTAATAAATAAGTATTAACTCACAAAAGTTATACGGTGGCTAAATTCTCAAGAAAGTTTCACATTATAGTTCAATGGCAATGAGTTTCTAACCTATGATTCGTCTATTATTGAGGATATTTAACATTTGCACTGTGGTAAGTATGTGTCAGGATCAGATTTGAATCTACCAGTTACAGCTGGGATTCGAGCCTACGTCACCTTATTGAGAGTCAGGCTCTTTTTTCTATCTGGTACTGAGCCTTGCAAATAATTATAACTGAACCAAAATTTATTCATATTAAATTAAACTAAATTAAAATTAGTGAACTGAATTAAAATCAGTGAAGAGTCTTTTTAAAGATTTCCCAATAGATCTTCGCAGTGTGAATCGTGACACGCTTGTTTGCTTTATATCACTTGTTACATTTTTATAACCTTCGTTTTTAATATTTTGGTAACATTTGTAGTAAAAAAGATTGACTAACATTGAAAAGCCTTAGTTAGCATTTAGAAAAGAGTATCATGCCTTATCAATTATGTATTCGTAAGCTAATGTTCAATGAATTAAAACGTAAAAAATTTATTTTTTGTTTCGAAAGTTAAAAAAAAAAAAAAATTGATTGAATTTTCTCAGTTAATTAAATTTACCTTTTTTTTAAATTTGATATTTATTATAGTTTATTTTTCGGTATGAAAATAAAAAATAGGAAAAATAAATTATTAATACGATCATGAATATATTATTTTTTTGAAAAATAATTTCTGCGAAATAAAAAATAAAAAACATTATCATGTTATCGTTATAAATGTACGAAAAAAATAAACATAAATTTATTACTTTGGTTTATTAGTGAAACAGAAATTTACGATGCTTTTTAACAAACTAATAACTGCCCTTTTAAATTATTTGGGCTTAAATTGCGATTTTGCCCAAAAAACTGTTTCAAAAAATACAGCTTTTCTAAAACTTCATTAAAAAAAAAAAATAGGGAGGTTATAAATTTTTGAGCCTGCACTTTGCTCTTTACTTACATTATTAATTATTTTTTCGGATCATGCAACTTATCAAAAATTTTGTCAAATTGAAAGAGTAAGCTGAGATTCAAGCATATAAGCAACTATTTTATTTTACTTCATATAATGATGGTTTTGAAAATCGACTAAGTTGAGAAAACTTTTTCTATATACTTTCTCGTTTTTCTACCGTAATTTTGAACTGAATTTCATTGAAAACGTCATTTAAAATTAAAAATTTAAAAAATTGTATAAGAAAAAAAATGTTCTCTAATTTATGTTCAGTGCACATTTATTTTAGTTACTGTATTGCAGTAATTTGTGTTATGTACAATATTTTACCATTTTTTAGTTAAAAATTAAAAATGAATGAGATGTCTGAATTAAACATTTTTTCAAAATAAATTGAGTTTAGTTAATCTTAACTTAGTTTTTTCTAAACATTTTCAAAACTAATCAAATGCTTACTTTTAAGACAATATTAAAACTGTTTCTAACAATAACTGCACTATAAAGCAAATATTGGGTAAAACCAAAGTAACTTTAACTATTCACCTAAGACTTCCGCAAAACTATCCTTTGGGGAATTATTAACTTAATTAGAATTCATTTATTTATTTCTCATGAAAAACAAAAATTGCTACAGCATTTTAAATTATTATGAATATTATAAGTTTCATCAAATCATTAAACAGAAGAAAATATTAATGTAGTGAAGTATAATAAAAAATGTCAGAAATATTTTTATGTAAATTAAATTAAAATAATGAAATATTACATAGAAAAAAAACGTTTTATTTGTTCAAGAATCTTTTTATTCATTAACAAATTCTTGTTTGATCAAAAAACCACAGTTTCTCTTTTTTTTAAAAAAATGGTTTTTATTGCCAGTTGGCTATGTTGGCGATATTTTCAAACTAGATGATCTGAGTTTCAGACTCTCCGTCTTTTGAATGTGTACCAGGTGCTATGTAAATTAAATTAGAATAACGCAATCATATAGAAAAAACAAAACAATTTTTTATTTGTTCAAGATTGGAAAAAAAATCACAGTTTCTCTTTTATAAAAAAGGTTTTTATTGCCAGTTGGCTATGGCTGTATTCATAAACTGGATGATCTGAACTTTAGACTCTCCGCCTTTTGAAGGTGTGCCTGAGGGTGGAAGGATACCATTGCATTTTGGAGAATCGGGTTCATAACCTCTGCAGAATATATCTGACAAGCTAGAAACTGACATGCCAATCAGCTTGTCGCCTTCTTTCAGAACTTCATCTCCACAGTTTGATTTCACTATACCAAGCATGTTATTGTACAATCGTTGTAGACCACTGAAAAAACGAATTTATAGTTAGTTCAGATAAGTTTAAAGAAATGTGCAAGAGTTTAGAATAAAGTTCGATACAATAAAGTACATAATCACAAATAAAAACAACTTGTTTGGGAAAAGCAGTGTATCGAGTTTGCATGCCTATAATAAATAATCAGCACTGTATTTAGGAAATATTTTTGCTTTTTTAATAAATAAAAACATATACAAGTTCTTATGTAATTGGGAAAAGCAATCTGTGGCTTTTAAAGTATTAATTGTGCAAGTTTTAAGTACGATATTGTTCCTAAATGCAAAGAAAAAAAAAGTAACAATAATAATCCCGTCTTCTTAAAATAGATCCGCATTGATGGTATTGTTAGAGAGTTTATTGTAGGGCTCTCAAGTTCAAAATGAACCTTGCAAAAAATTAATTTTGTCATGAAAAACATGGTGTTTACTACTTTTCATTTTTATCTAGCGCTACGTAAGATTATTCATTTAAAATACATCTGTATATAAAGGTTTCTGAAACATCTAAGTTTATTGGTTTTTGAAACGAAAAAAAAATGTTCTGGGAGACCATACTGTCAAAAAGGAAAATTTTACAAACTTTCATAATTATCTCTGATCTCTATAAATTGCACTTTTATACATTTCACAGAAAATTTTTGTAAAAATATTTATGCATTTAAATAAAACGTTGCTCATAAATAATACAAACTCTTTCGAATGATTTTAGATTGCTTTACTTCTTCAGCATCAAATTACTTATTATCTTGTACACTGATTTCTGAGAATCTTCTATGAATAATATTTTTTTTTCAAAAAATAGCAGAATTGTGCAACTTATTTATAAATTTTTTGTTATTTACATTTTTGTGACATACATATAAGTTGTTGAAAACTAAATAAAGTTTCTTTTCATCATTTTTGCTTTTTAATACACCATTTTTAATCTTAAAAAATTGATTAAGTACAAAAGAGGAAATTCAACAAACTGTAAGAATTTTATATTATTTATATTAAAACAACTAAAGCAATGCTATCTAGACAGTAAATTGTTTTAGATAGAAACAGACGTTACTAATTAATTATTATAAAATCAATTGACTTTACAGAATTTTTTGTTAACACTAACTTGGTGGCTTCCAGCTATACTCATTACTTGTTTCAGAAATTAGTTTTAAACAGCTGTTTGCATGTTCATAAAAATAACAATTTATTCGAGTGTTTTCAATAGTTTCTTTCGACTGAATAGTTTTGAATAGTTTCTTTCAACTACATTATTTGTAAGTAGTTTTTACGATTTTGTAAAGATACATACCAACACATAGTGGGGACTCTTTGTTGGAATTTCGCTTCTGCAGCAGCTTCAAGAGCAGCCATTAAATCTTCTAAATGTGGTTTTACATTATCGGTTGAAAGAGCCTTTTGGAAGCAAGGTGCATGTTTTAGATATACTGAAATGGAAAAGGAAAAAAAATTAAAAATATTGAGACAGTTATTTTACTATTCATTATTCCTTTATAATTCAGTATTATAGTATCAAAATAAGATCACTAAATCTGAAATTCAAACTTGAGTTTTTAAATATATCGTTGCAAATAAATAACTTCATAAAAATTCTAAGTACACACCTTAATATCGTGATATTAATGGAAATTAATTTGTCTTTTTCATAAAAATCTGACGCTAATTTCAGACGAACGTGAATCAAGGTTTGAATTATGTAACGTTCACAAAACATTGAGGCACCATTTATGCAATTATATTGCAAAAATAATAACCGCATAGAACAGTAAGTCATTAGTATTTCCAATTACTTTTGTTAATCGTTTGAGTTTAAAATTTAAGCATTTAAAGAAATTATTTAGGATTCATTGGCATTGAAAGTTTGGAGCAATATAGTTATACATCACTTTTTTTCCAAAAAGATCAGTTTCTTATTTTTCTCTCAAATTTTTGAATTTTAAACGGGCTAATTTCTCGCCATTCCTGATCAATTATTGCAAAAATATCTTAATTGTTTCTTTCATCAACCATTGTATATTTTTATGAATGCAGTTACAAATTGAAATTGCTTAATTTCCATAATTTAAATTTTTTTCATGCTATGACTACATTCAATATAATTTTACAGTGCATAAATATAACATAAAATTGAACTGTCTTAAGGCTTTTCGCTCTCCTCTAATTATAGAAAATTTTTTTTAATGGAATTTGTAATAAATAAATTTCAAGTGTATTTAAAAAATAATTTTGATGAATTTATTTATTATCACAAAGAGGGAAAAGGAGAAACATTCCTTGAGGCAATACATTTTGTAAGTAGTTTCTTTATATATATTTTATATAGTAAGTATTCATATGTATAAACAGTTTTAGAAATAGCTGTATTAATGGTGTGCATTAAGATTGGAAATAATTGTATGAATATGTATAAATAGAAAAATAAACTCACGTGCTCGCTCATCAGTTCCTCTTGAGCAAATTGAATTTTGATATTTCTTGGGTTCTGCCATTAGCATGTCGTAGACTTCTTGGAGTAATGGTGTAAAACAAGAGGCGGAATAATTACCCATACATTCCATACCCTCCTGAACTGGCCTAGTAAAGGGAAGTTTAAATTTTAGATTTCATCTAAGTTACTGTATTATTCTGTACTATACTGTAATTTTGCAGTAAGTTCAGTTAAAATAGTACAAGTCGACAATTTTGTCTTAAATAAACTGCAAAAAAAAATTACTATATCAGAACAAATTCGTATTTTTTCATCAACTAATTTAAAAGGAAAGTTGAAATGTGTGTTAGATTTATGTTTTATTAAATGAAAAAAATAATAAATTAAAAGGATATGTTTATGTTTTTTTCTGTTTCGACGACGTTAATAAGATGTTATTTAATATTTAATTTAATAAAATTATTTTGCATATTGAAAAATATATAATAAAAAATAAACTAAAATACATTGCTAGTTGAGATAAGAGCAGACTTAATGTACTGAAAGAACTCAATTGACTTGAACGTTCAAATAATTTTCGATTGCCCAAAACCAATTAAAGTGAACATTATAAATTTCAAGGTAATATTAAATTAGCTGACAATGTTATAAACCTATAGCAAGTTATATAAAATTCAAGACGAATAACTTAAATTTCAGGGTAATATTATAAGATTCAAAAGTATGTTTTACGATTTAAAGATGTCTTTAAATCCTAAAGTAATTTAAAATATTAACAGCATAGTATTTTTGTTAAGAAAAAAATTAATAATCGTATATAATAAAATAAAAAATATCGTTAGAGAATTTTTTTCTATAAACAACATATACTTTTAAAATACCAATTAAGTTGTCATAGAGATGTGATTTTTCAAGTTATATAAATACAATATCATTCAGCCTTTACCTCAATTACTAGTTTAGCGTTTTAACCAACAAAATTTTAGTTCACAATGCTAAGAAATATTAACTAAAATTATTGTATTAAATCTTGCAAAACTTTTTGAGGTTCATATTATAACACTAAAAATAACATTTTTGTTTCATTAAAATTTAAATTTCAATATTTTTAGCAAACTATTTTCTCAAAGATGTAGACTAATGATAAAGTTGAGACTTGCACCTGATATAATTGCTAAATACGCAGAATATTCCGTGGTAAAATACAAGGGAATATCGTTGCACTAAAATAGACATTGTTTCAATTAAAATAGGTATTATTTTAAGTATAAGGGTCAATAATCTTTAACTAAAGTATTTTTCTTATGCAATTTAATGACAGAGACTTACTCGCAAATTCTGTCAAGATCATCATCATTTCCAGGTACTCCTTCTGTAGCTGATAGTAAAACAGTAGCTAAACAAAGATCTACTTCTCTCAAATGGCAACTAGCAGCGTCTGTAGTTTGAAGGGTAACCCCTATAAAAAAATTAAGAAATAAAAGTTACAGATGGTTGATGATGAATATGTATTTAATTTTTTTTTTAATAATTTACTTCCCATTGAATACATTGGGGGATCTAATATTGTGTTTTTTTTTCTTTTTATTTGTCGTTTTAAAGAGTCTATAATAATTTTCTTGAAAGCTATAAAGTCATTTGAACTTTTATCAACAGTAAAAATTTATTTAAACTTTGTAGCTTTCATTGGATTATTTAAACAAAATACATAGTATCCGAGACAATATGAAAAATTTACAAACTTTTGAACTTTAAACCAAGAAAATTAATTAAATATATTTGATGTTTAAAGTCATTTTAACTGCAAATAAATGTTTACTGTAAATTTAATGAATCAATAACTTTAAAATAATGTAACTAATTCATATTACATATTACAGCAAAGAAATTAAAAATTGATTTAAAATTTCAACTTTTATATGACGTGATTTCTGAATTCCAAATGATGGCAGAAAGACGTAGCTGGTTCAAATTTAGTTATGAGTAACTTTGTTGTTTTGAGATTTACACTGAACTTCAAATTTGCAAAAAACATGTTTTAATCAGCTGCGTTGGAAATTTATTCATAAACGTAACCCGTTTTCTAATAAAAAAAATCTTCTTAAAACTAACCAGTGATACATATGTAGGTTGCATTAAAGCTATAAAAATAAATAATGAAGTTGAATAAAAATGATTTTTATTATAATTAATTTTTAATTTCAGGTATAAACTCTTACAATTTTCCTTCACTGAATGTTTAACTTATAATTAAGATCATAATTAATTTTAAAATTATGAATTTGATTTCATGCAAAATATAGTTTGGTTTATTAAACTTTAAATTAATATATTTCAAAGTAATTTGCAAAAAATAAATATATCTTTTAATATAAATGATAAATATCTTTTTTCTATTGCCATTTGTATTTAATATTAAATTTTACCTCTTATAATTTTCTGTAATTGAATATTTAGCTAGTAATTCAGATTGTTATTATTTTAGATCATATCATTAGATCATATAAAATGCTATTGTTTTATTACAGTTCAATGTTTTTAATTGATCACATAAGAATTAATTAAATAAAAAAATAATTACAAAGCTTAACTAGTGATAAAAATAATATGGAACATTTTGCAAATTAAAAATGACATTTAAAACTAAACATATATGCTAATATAATTTTCTTTTATTAAATGCTAAGCAGGTAATTTTGATTATAATTATTTTTTAAAAAGACAAGTTAGATTTTATATAAAATGTATTTTTGTTCTATTGTATATCAAAAAACTTGATTTTAATTAATTTACTTATAATTATTCCACTTATTTACAACATAATTGTTTAATTAATTATTCTATCAACTTACCCAAAATACACACGAAACCCGTAAGAAAGAGCAACATGTTGATAGGCTATTGAGGGAACTAAAAGGGTCTTCTTATTTAAAAGTTTAACCCTCAAGCCTTTTTATGACTTGCATAAGGAAATTTTCTTGCAGTTGCATCAAATGGTCATCTAAATGAAATCGTCACGTGTCACGTGATATTTCTTTGTTTCATTCTTCCAAACAAAGATTGACAGTAGAAAAAGGGAAAAATTTACTTTTTTTTTTGCCTTTGCCTTTCCTGTTAAAGAAATAAATTATTTGAAAGAATTTAACGAAGCGTAAAGGTAATCAGACATTTATCAGTGTTAGTGTGTGGGTCTAATTTTACGATTAAAAAATGATTGATTTAAAAATTTAAGTTTTTTCTTTTTTAAATTTAATATTTAGAGTTACGAATACGTCATGGACTAACAGAAAATTAAGAATATTCACCATAACTAAACAACCTATTTAATTGTTATGTAAAAATGCAGCATTTTTTTTATCAGAAACCCGAAATGACCTATTACATAATTTCGTTTCCTTGTAGATAGTTTTTTTCCTAAATTTGTTTTACCTCTTGTTGCACTTCATTGAAGAAATAACCAATTATTCCATGATTTGAAGGTTAATTTATACACATATTGGAGAGACTTTTTGGCTTCCAATTCACGTCAGATGTTAACGCCTTGAATAATCAAGTAATTAATGGTTGAATTTCATGCTTGAATGGATAATTGAGTTCATTATCTCAAGTTTTAAGTCTTGATATCTAATCATAAACTATTCTAAAGTCGATTCAGAACTGTGAATTAAGTCAGCAAAACAATTCGTATTAAAAAGTCAGATTCGGTAACTTAACATGATTAGTGTTTTATGATTTATACTATGTATGTAATCATACAATTAGATAAATTGAAGTTTATACAAAAAAAAAATGCTCCTGATTTTAAATTTGTGAAAATGAAAGGTCTAAAGACACTTTATTATTTCAGACATTGTTATTTTTTGATATTTATTACAATAATTACCCTGTTACCATTTTTGGTTGAATTTCTTATGATTATCATCCTTAAATATAAAAGTAAAAATGTACGTTTTGTCTTAAAATATATCTTACTGTATAGTAAGTGGTTCATGGTTAAATATGCCTCATGGTTAAATGTGCCACAGTGTGAAAATTACTAAAAATATTATTTTTCCATCAATTTTTAAGAAATCTTAAAATTTGAAATGATTATAGTTCTAAAATGTCTTTAGCATAGTAACAATAGCAAAACAAATGCAAAACAACATAAGTACTAACATCATTTTTTCAACGTTTGTTTTTATCCTTTACTATCTTTAATCCTGAAATATTTTTTTCATAACCCTTTTTAAGCCCTTCCTTTTGTTCGACAAAAGTTATTAATCCAATCTTCATGCCAATACTATAATTAGTAATGAGTAACTTAGAAAGTAACAACGTAATGCGCAAAAATAAAAATACTTATTTTTACTCATCGAGTTGATTTCTCACTTACTTTATGTGGGCGCAATTTCGAAGAGATCTTAGTCAAATAATATTGCAATATTTAAAATATATTTTTCTATTCTTTATATATTATTTAAAATATGTAAATATGGAAACTGTTTAGTTTCAATAGTAAACTCATGGATGTCATTTATTTTTATAAATATTTAATAAAATTGTAATTTGATAATAAATGCAAAATTTAATAATAAAATACTATACAAAAGCGAAAAATCGCAAAACTCTGATTAAAAAAAAGGTTCTATATTTGGAATTTAAAATACAGAACATAAGTACTTAGTATTCTGAATAATATTTATTATTTTAAGCCTAAACAGGCTAGATGAAATTATTTTGGTCTTCGTTTGTAGATGATAGATCTATTTTAGCTTAACAAAATGGCATTCAGTTCCATTAGGACTTTGATTATTTATCTTAGCAAACAAATTAATTAAAAATTCTGGTTTTACAACTAATAATATTAACCACTAACAAAATGGCATTCAGTTCTATTAGGACTTTGATTCCTTATCTTAGCAAACAAATTAATTAAAAATTCTGTTTTTACAGCTAATAATATGAACCACTAACAATATTGACGCAGTGCTTAAACAGATCTAAACATTTCACCGAAATGCAGTTTTCTTGTAGAGTTCTAATCTTTTAAAGAATTAGGTAATTTGCGAGCATCCTGACCACTCACACATGACACTTTTTAAATTCAGGACTAGATGCTCATATTTTTTTCATGAACAAACAACTTGATCATTAACCCAGTCATCTCTGCCTTTCAATTCAATCTAAAACACGTAAAAATAATTTAGAGATCATCTTGATTCATATACACGATTTACTCCGAATTTTTGGTCTTACTCACGATTGAACCTCAACCATCTTTCCACACGCTCGTCAGGCTATTTGCACCATTACTACGGTAGCGCAAGCGAAGTTGGAAGCATGATAACATACCAAAGAGAGAAAATAATTTGATTTGGGATTAAATAGCTTTAAAAATAATAATGAAATTAAAATCAGAAGAATAAATTTTATAAAAAATTTCAATTTATTATTATTATTATTAATTCTAATAAAAATAGAATCGATGGTTTACATCAAGAGATAAAAATAATTACAGAAAAAAATTATAACAGCTATTGGTGTAATTGCTCTTATTAGTTAACAACCAAATATATATTCACAAACTCTTGTATTAATCAGAAAAAAAAGTTTTTATATTGTTGAAGTGTAAATTATTATTTCTCTTAATATATAATCACACAGACGGAGAGTAATATTGTGTTTCTTTTTTCTTCCTTTAAAATAAGAAGAAAAAAAAAGAATCCTAATGTCAGGATTGTAAAAAAAAATCGTTAATATCTAGGTGGGGTGATATCCTTTAGGTGTTAGGATGTTATTTCAATTCCTTGACTGTAGCAGATATTTTAGTCATGACGTTTGCTCTGCCTTAACTTAATTAGAAAAAAAGTTTAGATTTCATTATTTTGTTTCTTATACATCAAAAATACAACAAAAAAATATTTATCTTTTTGGCAGTTTGTCTAGAAAATAAAACTTCTCCGAATAAACTATATCCTGAAGTGGCTCAAATTCCTTTATGTATTTGCAACAAGTTTATTATTTTAAATCAATACAACTGAAAATTTGTAAAAAAAAAAGTGTGAGACAAATAAAAATATGTATCAACAATTGGAACGTAAATAAATGTTTCATTGATGAAAAAGAGAATATTCTTTAAAGCATTATTATAAAAAGTAGAAAATGATACATGAGAGTATGTATCAATTTCTTATTCTCATATGTTATAAGAATAAGAAAATAATGCATACTTTCAAATATTTTCTGAACTTAGAATGTGGAAATATACATAAAGTGTGACAAAACTATGTAAGATTATTTTTTTTACATACATTGCATTACAATGACGTAAAATATAAACAAATTCAACAGAAAATTAAAAACAACGGAATTATTCAGATAAAAAGTTTATAATGACTTTTGAAAATTAGCCAATAAATTAATAATGTGGTATTTTATAAAAAAAAAAGTGAAAATACAGTATTTTTTACGTGTGCCAATAAGAAAATTTTATTACATCTTTTTTTTTCTTTTCTTTTTTGCATAAATTGCATTACAATGGCATGAAAAGTACTTAAATAAAATCAGCAGCATTATTCTAATAAAAACTATATGATAATTTTCGAAAATCAGTCAATAAATTAATAGTTTGGTGTTTTAGGAAACAAAAGTGAAAATGCAGTATTTCGTCTGCCTTGATTATTAAGACAAAACGTACATGTTCATAGCTAAGATGGCGTTGAGTTTAAGGTTAACGAACTATTAATTTATTCAAACTGTCAATCCTCAAATTCAAAATTAACGCTCATTCAATTCGAACTGAAAGCGCGTTGAATTGTAAGAGTTGAAGACCTAACAAACCTTCTCAACCAAAGGCATTTTAATAAATGCTACTCCTTGTTTTTCAGAAGGTATCCATTACTTAACTATGTCTTTCAAAACATTAATTCTCAAATGAAAGGGCTTATCTGATGATGAAAACAAAACTTGTTTTCAAAAGGAAGATCATATTTGAATATTTCTGTTGGCCTTTTTCCTCCTGTATGCTTGTTTATTTATTTCGTCAACGACTTTCTACAGAATAGAAACCAGAAACATCTAGAGATTTGGTGGATGAACTGGTTTTTTTCAAGGTCCTCTTAAAAGACGGTAACAAATTTCATACCATTCAAACTTTTTCTGATAATTCGATGCAACGTATATGCTAATCAGGAAAAATTCGACAAACAACATTTGTATTATCCATTTTTACCGGCATAGAATTATTTTAATAACAATTTCAATTAATTATGAATTCATGCAAGCAGATGTGACTAGACTATGTCGATCAATGGAAGACTTTACACGTGATTTCGCTAAGTACGCTGTCCCTGTAGTCACGTTTTTGAGTAGGTGACTAACATGTATTTTGTTTTTCTTACTTAATATATTAATTAGATAAATGAATCATCATTTTTCAAGGACAGTAGTGAAAAGTTAAAAAAAAGTTTAAAAACTATTTCTCCGTTGTTTGAAAGAATGGCGTTATCTTAGAAATGTGATTTTGTCTGATTTATTTAGGTATAGGTTAGTAATTATTTATTTCAGAATTTCCAATTATTTTTCCTTTGAAGTTATTAATGCCGTACATCTGAATACCAAAGTTAATCAATAATAGGGAGTGCTCACGTGGTATTTTCTTAATCAGGCTAAAAATTGTTGAAATTTAAGAGAAATCATCAGAATTTTACGAAGAAATAACGTTATTGTTTTTGAGGAAAGATTTACGTATCTAAATCAGGGTCAGAATAATCGCCAAGTCTTAGCAAATTCCGGGCAGCAGCCCCCCGCAAAAAAACTTAAAAAAGTTACACAGAAAGGAACCAATTCGAAGGGTATAATACGTAGCTACCCTAATGAAAACATTAACCTTTATAGGTTTTTTTTTTCGTTTCCTTTATTTTTCAAAAAAGCAAGTTAAAAATCCATTTGGTACCTTAGTGATTGTAGTTGGTGTGTCAGACCACGATACAAAAATATCCCAGTTTTTTTAATGAAGATAATATTTTT